CTAAAATATGGAAGACCAGAAAAAATCAGCAGTCGCCCATCATAGTTTGCAACAAAACCATTCCATAGACTTAAGTTCATTAATATAAGATTAGTTATATATAAGATTAGTTAGACAAGTTAACAACACCGGGCATTTAGATGTCTACATCTAGTGCAGAAATGAGTAAACATAATAATATTATGAATAACGATGGTGAATCAGTACCTTATAGTATACTATATTTATCAGGTTTACCTGACTAATACATAAGGATACATTGTAAAATTTATTAAAGACTAGTAGAAAAGGCAATATTGTAAAATTAATTTAAGACACGTAAGACACAGATACCTAGAAAAGGTAACTATGGTATAAATAAGGATAACATTGTACGTATTTTTAGTTTAATCTTCCTCTTGAAGATAATCACTTGGTGATCGAAACACGTGCGAGGTGTTAAAATAACGGTTTGGTGTTGGGGCAAAACTCCAGTAATATTAATTATCATTTCGAGTTTATTCCTAATAAATTTATTCTGATGATATCGAAAATTAATCAAAAACTGTCAACATTCAGTAACAAGTCAATAAGGGCGATGACATCTCCCCTTACGAATACGTCATCTACGGGATCGACAAAAAACTCAAATATCAAAGATAAACGAGGCTCCCGAAAGCGGTCAGTTGCAAAGCCAAGCTTAGACATCGACTGTCGACTCTGCAGCTTTCATTACAAGGCAACTAATTGAAATGAGCAGCGATCAAACACAACGCATTTGTGTTCCAACACCAGACAGCGGTGTTTCGATTCGCCATATGTATCATCAGTAGTGCCAGGCTGAACGAGAAGTGCATTGCCAAGTCCAGTAATCACAAAAGCATTGTGATTGCGACGTGTTTTTCCATAATATATCTTATGTTTCTAAATACGTAAAATATGATAGAATAAAAATAGAGATAAAAAAATACCTACTAATAATCTGTTAAAATCTGTCTTTCCGTTATTCAGCTGTCGCCCCCATACGAACGATAACTCTCAGAAGTTGAGAAACTTGTGCGAGCTAAGGACTAACGAGGTCTTACCTTTCAACGTGTGATTCCTGACACGGTTGCATAATCATCCCAGCTTCAACCAGATGAATTCTCTCGAGAAAAAATATCTGGTCGAGGCGGGAATCGAACCCACGGCCTTCCGCTCGTGAGTCGGGCGCACTACCACCGCGGCCAATGATAAGTATGAAATAATATTTTCATGTTTGTTTGAAGGTGATTGACAATGTTTCATGATGAATTTCACTGATTCGGACTTCCATTGTCTATTATATAAAATGATTTGAAATCCCTGAAACAACTAAAAAAAGAAGAATTAAAAATTAATAGCTGAAAATAACAATTATATTAAGCAAAAAATAAACCTGAAATGAAATAATAGTGAAATAACATACAAGTAAAAATAGAACAAATGAATAAATAAAAATAAAGAAATGAAAAAAGCAATAAAAATTGGAGAGATTCCCAGTCACGTTAGTTCACGACGTTTCGATTGTTAGTATCTACAATCGTCTTCGGGTGATGACTGGACTGATTCCTCCGAGAGATGACTATTTACAGGTCGTTCGAGTACTTTCACTTATCCCCGCTTTCCATTTTCCGCTTCACTGGTTCCGTGGGAGATGACCGTTTGGCGGGAGTTAGCCATTTTTCGCTTGATGATGGGTTTCCATATGTTGCGTATTTCTACGCTGGCTTGGCTGAATACGTTGTTGGACAACATGTATGCGACTTCCTTGAATTTTCTCCTAAACCAATGTTCCTATCTGTGCAAGATCTCAGCTTGGGACCACTCGATGTTGTGTTGATGGGTCCAAACATGGTCTGCTATTCCTGATTTGCTGGATTCCCCTCGCTGTGTGTGTTTCTTGTGCTCGGCAATGCGAACATTCAATGGCCTCTTAGTTTCACCAAAATAGGATTTTCCGCACTCACAAGGTATCAATCAAAAATCAAAAAATTACGTTCTTATTACCCCTGTTAGCTAACACTTACGACCGGCAAATATTGGGCGTCTCGTCAAAATGAAGCTACTCACGGAAAATTAGCTTGTTAGTAATGAATAATGAAAAAGAGTGAGGGACCTTGGACTAACATGTTCAGATCGTAAAGTATGTTTTTTTTTCCAAATCCGATATTTTTCAGACAGAAACTCGCATTATGAATGTTGTTTCGCAAAACATGTATTTATTTGATGGAAAACATAATTTTCCGAGCCTTAAAAAACTGAATGAAAAACATCAAGATGATGCTTCCAACGGTTATTACATAGGTATATACGTTTGCAAATCAAAATATCCGACATTTTCACAGGAGGCTTATATCGCTTGGGAATAAAACTCTATATTTCATTTTTGGTGTTCGACATCAGATAAACATACAAACTCATTTCTTTTACGCCTACGTAGAAAAATATATTTCTCGGAATATAATTCTTTTTTACCATATTGAACGGATTTAAGGACTTGTTTACAACACCATAACGTTTATTGACGGTGAGTTCACTCAGTCAATCGGACGGTGTGTGAGTCGATGGTTCAAGCCCCAGGCTGAACGCTCGATTTTCATTTGCTATGTTAGGAATCACACATCAGAAGGTAAGACTTCGTTAGTCCTTACCTCGCACGAGTTTTGACTTCTGAGGGTTGTCGTTAGAAGGAATGCGATAGCTGGTTAACGAAAAAAAAAACATATTTTTAACAAAGAAAACGAAATCAGGAGTAGATATGAGACGAACTTGGCCTCTCTAATTTGTTTGATTTCATGTTGTTGGTTAATTTCATCCATTCATGAAAATATTGAATTTCACTAGTTCGGACTTCCATTGAATGTTTCTCTTTGTGCAAGATCTCAGCTTGGGACCACTCGATATTGTGTTAATGGGTCCAAACATGGTCTGCTATTCCTGATTTGCTGGTTTCCCCTCGCTGTGTGTGTTTCTTGTGCTCGGCAATGCGAACACTCAATGGCCTCTTAGTTTCACCAATACAGGATTTTCCGAACTCACAGGGTATCCGGTAAATATAATTCTTGGAATCGCAGTTCGCGTTTGGTGGCCTGGTTTTCGTGAGGCTGCTACGGATAGTGTTACTGGATCTGAAGCAGGTTCTGATGTTATACTTGGACCCAATCCTTTCGGATAATCCTCTGATGTAGGGAAGTGCAAGCACTGGTTGTGACGGCTTCTTTTCCTTGCGAGGCTCCTGCTGTCTTTTATCCAAAGTCTTTTCTACCATCGCTCTGGAGTAGCCATTCCGGTGAAGATCATTTTTGATGATGCCGAACACCAAAAATGAAATATAGAGTTTTATTATCAAGCGATATAAGCCTCCTGTGAAAATGTCGGATATTTTGATTTGCAAACGTATATAACTATGTAATAACCGTTGGAAGCATCATTTTGATGTTTTTAATTCAGTTTTATAAGGCTCGGAAAATTATGTTTTCCATCAAATAAATACATGTTTTGCGAAACAACATTCATAATGCGAGTTTCTGTCTGAAAAATATCAGATTTAGAAAAAAACATACTTTACGATCTGAACCTATTAATTAGTCTGAGATCCCTCACCCTTTCTCATTAATTATTACTAACAAGCTAATTTTCCGTGAGTAGCTTCATTTTGACGAGACGCCCAATATTTGCCGGTACAAAAATTTCGTAAGTTATAGATAACAGGGGTAATAAGAACGTAATTTTTTACATGAAAGTGAAGTTGCTGACGATATAAAATGTTTTAAAATAATTAAAAGTGAAACCGATACATTGATTCTCCAGAATGATATTGATAACTGGTGTACGCAAAATGGTATGTATGTATTTGAACGTATCCAAATGCCATATTCTTCGATTTAATCGAACACAACACCCAAATAATTTCGATTACAGTATAAATAATCGGATTCTACATTCTGCTTCCGAAATCAAAGATCTAGGTGTAATACTAGACTTCAAACTTAGCTATAAATCACACATTTCCGCTGTAATTCAGAAATCCATGAAAATTCTTGGCTTTATAGAAGAACCACCGGCGATTTTACTAACATCACTGCTATTGAATCTCTTTATTTTTCCCTAGTAAGATCTTATCTCGTTTACTGTTCCACAGTTTGGTCTCCCCATTACGTTACATATAAAGTGAAACTTGAAGCTGTACAGCACAATTTTCTGAGATATTTTCTGATTGATTCGGCCGTTACTTGATGAAGATCCATAGTAATTTCACAAACTACACCTAAACGACTTGGTGTAGTTTGTGAAATTTCTGAGATATATTGCCTTCAAGATGTGTGTACACTATGACTATGATAGAACGCATATTGAACAAACCTTCTCTAGAGGCACGCAGAAAACATAGAGACCTAATTCTTCTATTAAAAATTACCAACGCACTGAGCTTTTCTCAAAATTATCTCTAATCATCCCCAGTCGTTACATAGGCAGTTGCAAACCTTTTATTTCTTTTCATAGATTCAGTTACTCATACAACAGCTTTATCCCCAGAACTCTTTGATTAGCCAATTCCTTGAATAACATTCAAATCTTTAATATATCAGTTTTCCGCTTCAAAAACCATATTTTTGACCTATAGTCCGTTCATAATTTGTTGATAGCTCACTGCAAGTTTGACCCTCATTAGAGAACTGAAATACAGAGAGGACAGCTAATATGATATAATAACAAAAACCAAACTAAAACTGGCAGATTAAGATGTTTTCGACTAACCCACCTTGTATCTGAAGAAATACAATACAGCTATAACACTTTTAATCCGATTATGTAGGTATTTTGAGTGGAAATGAGTGACCAGTGTCGTAGAGTATATGATTAAAACATTAGTTACTTTAAATAAATAAATATATTAATATTCTTAAACTGTAGGTACTGTAAACTGTATTTTTATTTAAAAAAAATTTCTTTATTTTATTCAAAAATAATAAGTTACTTGCAATTTGTAAAAGATACATTTATTTAATTAATACCTATTTTTAAATGATATAAACTACGATTACTTACAAAACTATTCAAATTCAAAATAAACAGGATCATCTTCGGAATCCGAGTCGTCTTGCAGGTTAATAATTAGCGGTTGTGTCTCTACAGTCGCATCAATTATATTGTCAAGATCCCACATTTTTTGTTCTTCTTCTATTGCATGTCTGACTGCATCTCGCCAATTTTGTTCTGTAATATGTTGTAAAGACTCATATAACAATTCACGTACAGCTTGTATTTTATGTGACGTATTTTTTCTAGCCACATAGCTTTTCATTTGTGCCCAAATGAGTTCAATTGGATTTAATTCGCAGTAGTAGGGTGGAAGTCTAAGGACTGTGATGTTTCGTCTTTCCGCCATTTTGTCAACTACGTATTTCTTGAACTTAGATTTGTGTTGCCGGGCAATTTTTAAAAGTTCTGCTTTAACCATTCCATCTTCGTAAGGCAGGGACTTATTCCGCAGCCATTCAATGATATCCTGTTTCTTCCACGCAGTCGTTGGAAGTCTTTCAACTAGTCGTGAATGATAAGGTGCATTATCTAATACTATAATTGAGTTTGGTGGTATATGTTCAATCATCTGCTCAAAATACTCTTCGAAAACATCAGCTGTCATCTCCTCGTGATAGTCTTTTGTGCTTTTGGATTCAAATTCCAACAAACCATGCTTAGCAAATCCTTTTTCATTGCCAATGTGAGAAACTATTAATCTACTGCCTTTACCAGAGGGTGGGGAAATACCAGTAGACCAACCTTCCATAAAGGCTTGCCTGGAGCTTGATATATTTTTATCTGTCCAAATTTTTGTGAGAGTATGACCTGCGTTCACCCACGTTTCGTCCTGATAGTAAATTGGCCTTCCTTCAGCCCGAAATTTTCGTATAGATCTTAGATACTTTCTTCTCCAACATATTATCTTTTCCCGGTCAATCAAAAGTGATTTTCGGTCTGATTTCTCCCACCGGAAATTTTATTCTTTTAAAACTTGCCACAATTTGGTTCGTCCGACATGAGGCAAATCCGGGTCGTCCCTAACTTCTTGTAAAATTTTGTTTAAGTTGGGTATTTCTTTTTTGTAAAAAAATTCGTGAATTTTCCTTCGAATACCATTTTTGGCAAATTCATCAATTTCAATAGGTTTTCTCCCCCTCTTTAAGTATTCGTTTGTATTTGGGTTAGCTATACCTTTTTTTTTTCTTTCTGATAGGAACCTATATATTGTTGACTCCCCTACGCCCGTCATGTTGGCACAACTCTTGATTATGTTCTGAACAGTGTTTGTGGGATTCTGAGAAACCAGAGCATCGTGAACGTTCAAAACAATAGTCTTCTCTCTTGGTGAATAGACAGACTTACTGACTGTACGCAACAGTACCGGTGTAAAACTTGATGATGTTGATGATGATGACGAAGCCATCGCAAGCAATCAAACAAAACAAGCAGGAACGAAAGGTACGTATATGTTTGTAGGAATACGAAAAAAAGTTACTCACGCACTGCACAAAATTCGCAAAATAAATATTAGAGACGTTAATTACTGCCGTAGACGCCGAAACACCAACGAGCCGTAAATTAAATGCGATTAGAAAATGTACTAAACCAAAAATTATTTCCGTTCGTAACAACTTCACCCTTTCAAGGCAAGTTTCGAATATAAACTGAAGCTTTATATTTAATGAATAAACACCTCAGGAACCTCCGCCTATGATTTTACGAGTTTTATGACCGTTTTATGACTTGGGCCCTCATTTTGTGCTATCGACAAATTATGAACGGACTATAGCTATTCAACTTGTTTAGCTTGGGCTGTTGTGCTGAATTGAGTGTTACTAGCCTGCAAGAATTAGATAAGTTCATATTCTTATATCTTGCGAATTTTCTCTTAACTTTCTTTTTGTATCTGAATTGGGCCTGCCCGTGTGTAAATAAATAAATATATAGGTGTGGATATATTTTCTTATAATGATTCCATCAATGGGAACGACAGTAAACTATATATGCTTCGCAGAGAAAGACAGAGAGGTCGATGTCGAAACTTTTCGAACGAAAGAAAACTTCATCAAGTAGTTTATCACTCGAATAAAGTGCTAGGACGAAGACAAACTGAAAGATTGATTGTCCTCTCGGCAAAGTAGGTTGAATACATAATAGAATTTGCTATGATATGGTTTTGGTAATGAGCCTTTTCATCATTCCATTAAATTTTGTAGATCAGGCACTATAATAAAACATTTTCTGTGATATTTTTATGTTTTCATAAGTCATTACCTCGTGAAATACAGGTAGCGGTTTTGTAATCTTTCCATGTGAGAACAAAAATAGCTCTAGGAAGTACAGAACCCGTAACCCGTTTTGTGAATGATCTTTGAGATCAATTGGTAGTACTGGAACTTTTGACTCATAGTTTGACAGATTTTTTAATGAAATCAAATACGATATCCGTATTTCTAAGTTCACACAGTGATATTATAGTGTGTCTGCTTGAGTCCGCACCACATAGAAAACTTTTTCAATATTAATTTAACGAAATGAAGGTATTCTTTATTTAAAGTCCCACATTGTCTAGAACATGATCTACCGGATTACAGTCGCCTTCTGGAAAGTGACTGATTATCACCCATATTGGAAGTGTGATGTTTGAGTAAAGCAGTCTGGAGATTACCATGAAGAGATGAAGGGCGATGTGTTTGAAGAATATTTTGAGTAAATGTTCAACCTCATCCCACGTAACTCTCTGACTGTGGTGTACAATAGTTATCATTCCAGAAAAAAACATTACATTCAATGAAAGATGGTTAAAATTCATTTCACATAATATGTAGTCGACAAGATGGCACGGAAACAAAATATTATTCTGCGTTTAATCCATTGACCGTACTGTAGTCATCTAGGCGATGGATAGTTCTAATGAACTCAATACAAATATTAGTTTTGAATTAGAGCTGAAATTACATTCTTTAGATATTCCAAAGCAGTTACCATAACACTTAAGTTGTTATTTTTGTACTCCATGGAAGAGATAATGAAAGAGCGATAGCTTTGTCGGTTCTGAATTGATAATTATCCGTTTGAGAAGAGGCCACAGCTCCCACTTCCTTCATAATGGCGCCATTTTCATAGAGATTGTGGAGCAATGTTGCCAAACGAACCTTTTTTATGGTACACGTACCACTCTTTAAGTTAATGCACCATGTAATATCGTAAACTGCAATGGTACGCTTATCGTACCATAATTTAGTCGCGGTTCAATTTTTTAAATCATCTACGGAATATTGGCAAAGAATTACAAATCTAAGATATGTCATGTGTTTGATAGTTGCACTGGTAACCATAATTTGTGATCCATCCTCACTGATTTGTAATCAATTACATTACTGTCACTTGGGAGATGTCACGCTGACTTATTTTATGATTGATTGTGTCCATTTTGCAGTTTGGTTAAACATATTCTATTACTATTTTGATGTTGAAACTCATGTTGCACATACAAAAGTATGTGCGACCAGGGCTGCTCCTGGCTATACAATTGTACGAATTGCTATACAATTCAATATATTTTCGTACATGCATACCACATTGACGAAAAGCATACATTTTGACTTCATTTGGTTTTGAATTGATTCGAACGAGGCCAACGTATATATTTACAAATTTCAATCACTTCGTCCTTCGACAGTCGAGTGATCTGTCTTATTACTTATTTTTCAGATCAGTCAAATTGTCAAATCTGTCGAAAACCGCTGATGCTAAAAGAAAACTAAACCCACAGTGAAAAAAGAGAAATGACGAATTTTAAATAAATATTTATGAATGGTAGTTGGTAGTTCACCTCACCCCTCTTGATTTTTGTTTTAGGAGACTTTGTGTTGTTATTTGATTTGATACATAATGTAAGCTAAAGCTAGATTAGTGAATGCAGAATTTTCAATTAATAATAATGCAAATAGTAATCAAATCAATATATTTGCAATAACCACTTCAAAATATTTATATTTCATATACGATAGAGTATCTGCCCATGCGCTAACCGCTTTATTCCATCTTTGCATCATGTGGGAAGCTGTCACTTATCAATTATTCTGATGACAGTGTTGGCGATCATTGATGCTATACAATTATAGCGAAAAGCATACATTTTCATATGTCATTTTTATACAAATTTTTTTGCCTTGGAGCAGCACTGTGTGCGACACGCTAATCACTTCAAACGACATATTCGACTCAATTTGAAATCAAACACGTCTTGAACTCAGCAGGTGCTCTATTAGCCATGCAGCTTATTGGATCCAGCATCATTTCAGTATTGAATATGTGATTGTACCATAATGTCATACATTGTACTATAATTTTTGGTTTATTGGTCATGAAATTGAGCAGTGGAGTTGGCAACGCTGTTGCGAAATAGACGCAATTGAGACGCAATTATGTAGTAACCATCAATTATGAAGTTTTCATCATGAGCCATGCCAATTAAAAGCACTCCATTCATAGTCTTTCATAGTTTGAATTGTAACGACAGGACGCTCGTTTGTAATTAATTGTTATCAATTTACTTTCTTCATCATTGACTTCGTAGTATGATTTGTAAACGATAGCTTTTCAACTAGAAAAACATAACACATGTATGAAAGTGTTCTAAGAAAACTAGGAATTGAATTCTGTTGAACTCAGCGAAAGGACGAAATTCTCAGAGAACTTTATCGCATTTCCATAGAAACTTCAATTCAGTTCAGGTTATTGTCCCAAGAAACATACAATGCTTATAATTAGGGACTATAACTAACTACAAAGTATACTAAAATAACAAAAATAACATTTTTGTTACAAACAAATTTGGGAATCTTCTAAAGAAAGGAAGGAAGTAATCAATTTTGAAATAAGTAACTCTATACATGAATGTGTAGATTATGTAAAGAAGTAACTTTCATACACAAAATGGAAGGAAAAAACCTCCTGAAATAGATACTTTCATATAAACATTGAATTACACGAAAGAAAAAATTCTTTCGAAACACATACTTTTACATGAACACTGAATCATACAGAAAACACTATTCTCTACTCAGTTTGTATTCCAAACATACGTTATGGAATACATTCAGATATCATTCACAGGAGTTCTACACTAAATGAATGGTAAAAATTTGCACTTACATGGAACACTGTCATCCTCACTGGTAGATATCGATGTTTCGCCGTAAGACACTTGCCTTATGGCTCTTCAGTACGAATATATATAACATTATGAGAAAAAACACACAAATAATTCATGAATTACGATTTATTATGTCACGGAATAAGTTTGATCTACTTATGCCATCGATGACATCGTAATGACATTCATTCACCTATTTTATTAAATCCCAGCCAAAAGGAATCTTGTTTGAATTTTTGGTGAATGAATGTCATTACGATGTCATCGATGACGTAAGTAGATCAAACTTATTCCGTGACATAAAAAAATCGTATTTCATGAATGAATTGTGTGTTTTTTCTTATGGTGTTATCCAGATTGGTACTGAAGAGCCCTAAGGCAAGTGTCTTAGGCGAAACATCGATGTCTACCAGTGAGGATGACAGTTTTCCATGTAAGTGCAAATTTTTACCATTCATTTAGTGTAGAACTCCTGTGAATGATATCTGAATTTATTCCGTAATGAATGTTTGGAATACAAACTGAGTAGAGAATAGTGTCTTCTGTATAATTCAGTGTTCATGTAAAAGTTTCGAAAGATTTTTTTCTTTCGTGTAATTTAATGTTTATATGGAACTAGCTATTTCAGAAAGGCTTTTCCTTCCAATTTGTGTCTGAAAGTTACTCCTTTGCATGATCTACACATCCATGTATTGAGTTATTCATTTTAAAATACATAAAGCTATTTGAGGTTCTAATCACTTTCATATAGTGACAAATTTTTAAAAATGTAATTTTTTTTGCCACATCACAAATGTCTAGTGGAGTATATCGTTTTCACTTTCCGAGTCCACGTTTTAATTCTTTTTTGGATACTATATATTTCAAAACGAACTGTCAGTTCAATCATTAAGTTTTCTCGAATACTTGGATACGTTTCCGAAGTGACTCGACAGCCCTCCTAGAATTTTTTTTTCAAATCTGGTGATCGTAGTGGCCATAATACTGTCTTTGACTTCCATTCCTTGCCGTGAAAAATGTTGATATAACTCAACAGTACTGTAAAAGTCTTCTAGAATTTAGTATGGATATTAGTATTTTGACATACATTTTCCACAGCACAGAATGGGGAGAAGAGGCTGCATTGAATAACCTCTACGGTCATCAAATTTGTATCCCTTTGATTTTTTTATGTGACAATGTCTAAAAATTGAAATTTATGAAAATATAACCTGGTTTCAACAAGATCTGCTTCAAAGAATTGGACGGAATTTTTAAATTTAAAGTCGAATGAGATCTTCACTGAAATATTTTGTGATTCTTGCATCC